CGTGCTTCCAAGAAAATTTTCTCGTTCAACAAACTTCAAGTTAGGAAACATTGCACTATTATATTGGACGGAGAACATTTAATAGTAGCCTTCGCGTAAAAATAGCGATAAAAGCGTAGTGCCAGCGAAAGTCCGCCGACTTTTCGTTATTACAGTCCTAAAAACTTCGCCCGTTAACGCCGAACCCACTCTCGCCATAACATAATTAAGGTGTGTAATATCACTCCTAAACTTATGACTGCTAATTTTGAAAAGTCCCACCCGGTCGCTCCCGGTGTTTTCGGCTCCGAAAATACGCCGCGAGGGATTACGCAGATAAACGATACGCGATTCGAAGGTTTGGAATTAGAGACCGGAATTAGAGTTTTTTTTTCTGCTGTCTTTGCAAAATACAAGCACGCTGGAGAATGTTCACATGTATATCTGACCGAGTTTTCCGCTTATCTTATCGGAGAAGAGAAAATCATTTGGTAGAACCGTGCTCTTTGAATACGGAGATAGAGATTTCCGATAAATCGGAAAAAGCATCTACTCTTCGACGCTACTTGTAATTCATATGCAAAAACCTCCCATTTTTTCAAGAAAACCGACCACATCATTCGATCGACCGTGTTGCTTTTCTAGCATAGAAAAGATTATACGTTAAGGATGTGTTTTACATTCCTCTCTCTTATTTATTCTGTTTTTTCGTTTAAATTATCATTATAATAATAAAAAAATTACTTTCATTATATTTTATTGATGCTTTTTTTACACGAAGTAAGATTTATATAAGTACGATTTTACATAGTACGTGATATAATTATTATTTTGAAAAGTTTTATCAAAATTAATTTTCATCTAAAAAATTGTGTTATATCTAATGTCTGTGGAGCTCAACAAGAAGTACATAACATAAATATCTAACAAAGACATTGTAATCAAGTACGCGTTTATCAATCAGAAATATGAAAATTCTAATTTTCTAATTGATTGACTTTCTAGTTGTGAACTGATATAATCTATAATTATATTATATTGGTCATTGATATTTTTCAATTGATATATAATTTATTAATTGAAAATACAAAAGTAAGGATACTTTCAGTAAAGCGTTCGCTTTTATTTCTAATAAACGTCGACGTTAGCGCGATTTCCATGTGTGAATACATGCTTAATTAACTCCAATTTAAACTAGCCGGCTACGACAAAATTTAATTCTCGCTGTGGGATGTAGATTTTTTTTGCTCTTTTTTATTCACTCTCTCATTGCGAATTTTCCTTTTGCATGCTCTCTACTTAATACGGTTATTTATCACCGTGGTGACCAATAAGTCAGAAAGCGGACGCGAATGCGATAGTTTCCGCGAGTGTCTACGCAAACATGACCACATCGCCATTTTCATCTATCACGAGATTATATTTCTCCCGATGTCATAAATTACATGCTATATATGCAGATGCGAATCGTGACCGTCCATTAAACTCCGAGTGCCGACTTTTGCGTTTAATTGCATAAATGCTTAAGAGCTATCGAAATAATATTCTTATCAAAGGAAATTAAGCGGAAATTTTAGCAATAATAATTTTCAAAATAATTATTAATCTACAGATAGGTTTAGAGTCGGCTGAAATATTAAATTTATAGAAAGAAATATATATATATATAAATAACAAATAAAATTTCTTAATCACAAAACAAAAGATGTTAATCTCAAAAAGAAAAATTACAATTAAAGAGAATATTTCTGAAAATACGAATAAAAAGAGGGTTATCTCGCGCTTGGTGAGAAATGTTCCGTATACATAGAAGTATTAAGCAAAATGGCCCTCGTTCTTGTGATTATTTATTGCAAGGACGATAATACCCATGGAAGGGCGATTGTTGTAATTTACGAGAGTCCATGTCGTCACGCGTACGAATTTTCCAGCCTCGTGTTTCTTTTTTTCGGTGTCATATAGTAGCGAGATAAGGCATGTTGTCGAGATTAAATCCAGCTGGCAGACGATTGCACGGAGCTGCATGCGAAACGGCGCTCGAACTCGGAACTTCAGTTACGCGCGTCATAACGCTTGCAAATGCGACATCGTGTTATCGGTAACGCGGTCGCTGTTCGACAACTCCCATCGCGGGAAATGTAAATGTTGAGAATTTCTGATATACAAATTTCAGGATACAGCGAGCGAGAGTATATCGCTCTTCATTCGTGTGCTTATGAATTAGGCAATTAACAACGTGCTAGAAAAACTGGACGCGTTAATCCCTTTGTAATTTTCATTATGTAATTTGCAATACTTGTGATAGTAAAATATAAAGTGGTGCAATTTTGTTTCTAAAATGTACAGAAAATTTCCTGAAAGACACAAAAAAGAGACGGAGGTGTTCATAACATCGAAGTTAGAATAGTTGCAACAATTACTGTCTTTCTCGCAAGATTTGTAATTTTGTGCACGATTAGTAAAGATTAGTAAAGATGTAATACAGCATCTGGAGTTTGAAATAACGCACAAGTAAATCCAATATTTCAAAAATGGATTAATCCACAACCGCGGTCACGCGACTAATTAAAACGTCCAACGTGTCAAACACATTACACGTCTGTACTCAGAATACCTCTCTCTATTCCCAGGACGAAATATTCTCGTAATTTAAACAAAGAAATATTTATTTATAACGGCACGACTCAGCTATTTTCCCACTACGAGATTTGACAATAGCTATGGCAAATTATATGCGCTGCAATCGAAACGCACGTTGCCGAACTTTGACATAAAGGCATATCGTATGCGAGGGTGAGCAGTGATCAGCGAAATGACACGCGCAGGCGGGAACAGGGATGGAGCGACCGCGGCCTGCCACGCGTTTAATATTCCCGTTTAATATTGTGTATGTATATTCGCGTTGCCGCATTTCATCAGGTGCAATCTGGATCGAATCACGGCGTGCTGTCCCACCGGCTGTTCCCAACCGCTGGAATCGTTCCAGGAACGGGGGCTCGCATTATGCTACGCTTAACGTGCCGAATAATCTAGTCTAGATATAAGGGAGGTGTGTTTGCACGTGCAGGGTAGAACGAGAGAACATTGAGTATTTCGGACAAGAAGAGCTTGCGGCATCAAAAGCAGCAAGCGAAGTTCGATAAAGCTGGAGAGAGAGAGAGAGAGAGAGAGAGAGAGAGAGAGGAGGGGGGGGGGAGCTGGCAATCGGCCAAGATACGGTGCAATTTACATCTTGATTATGAAATTGGCTTTCGCATGGACTCGGTTGTGCCCGTAAAGATATTTATTATCATCCCGCTTCAAAGGTTATTGCGATTGGATCACTAGGATCGAAGCTCCGGGAGAAACGTTGACGTTCGCGAAGGAACAAAAGCCCTCCGGAACAAGTTTCCGTTTTTCTCATTTTCGGAAGGGGGTGAAAAGAGAAAATTGGATTTTGTCGGTTCATACGACATCCTTGGATTTATTCTGTGATATACTTAGTATATACAGCATAAAATAAAATGCAATTTTTCTCGATCCTCTTTATATACAGAACGAACTTAATCAATTACAAAATTAATATGTGAAAGTGAATTATATTTTATATTGTATAATTCAATAAATTCATTCTGTCCTGATCACGCAAAAGATTATGCCAAAAAAATTTATTACAGCTTTTGTGAAAAGAATTTATTAAATCTTTTATGAATAACTCATGACATAAACTTTATTTCAGACAATTCAGAATGTAAATTAAAATGTCTTTTTAGCAATAAAATTAATAAGTATTTTAATTTCACTTTTTACTTAAATTTTCATAAAGTTATTTAATGACTTTAATGATGACATAACTATTAATTTTTTAATTTTTGCAAAATTACTGTATTTTCTCATAACATGATTGGAATTTCAATCCTTATTTCATTTTATGATAAATTACACATAATTATAAAAGATGTCTTCTCTCAATATACCAATAAAATTTCTAAATCCTATGTTATCAAGATACATAAAATAGATAAAATTTTTTTTAGTCAGTGTTGCTAATTTTATATACATATATCGCATAATATAATGTAACGCATGAGTCAATGTTATTATTCTGTTGAAGGTAATCACGGTGATTTTCAAAGTTTGCAAGATGCACCACACTATAATTCTTAGTCAAATATCATAACAGTGTTGTCATTAAATTAATATGAAAAATTAAAGATATCGTATATATTTAGCCTCAGTAATTTAGTCTCAGTTTTAGTTCAAGTTTTTGTTTATGGCGGAAGGTATTTAACCCCCAAATCTCCTTTCAAGTGTATCTCCTGACATTTCTCCTTGTGTAATCACGACAGAGTTCGAGGCTGCCACTCGAAACACGACCCGCGAGAGATCTATGAGTTAGACGTTAATTAATATTTACGTTTGTCCGGGTCAAGGATGCAAGTAGACGAGACTCAGGTTTCGAATTAGGTATTAGATAGGTTCTTAAATATATCATGTTTTATTATTAGCGTGCTGTTAGTAATATTGATAGACATGCTTAATAAAATTGCATTAATACCGACTTATTAATTATATTTTCTTTGTATTCATTTTATAAAAGAAAATTATGAGATTTTTTGCAAAGAATAAGGTATTAAAAGAATAAGGTATTATGAAGATGTCATTCATTATCGGGCATCTTATGCAAACTTTATATATTTAAATAGCAAATTAAATTAATATTTAAATATTAATTAATATTTTAATTAATTAATATAATTAATATAAAAAATTAAAATTATTATGATTTAAATAAATCATATTTGTGAGTGCTAGATAAGTTTAATTTATATTTATAATTATTAATTTATAGTTATAAAAATTATTATATAATTTATATATTATATAAAAATTATATAGATTATTATAGAGCTTGACAAAAAAAGCAAAAATAAATAATTTATTTTTTTATCTAAGATGTTTTATATTTTTTATTTAAGATGTGTTATATTCTAATGTGCAATTCCTTTCTCCAAAATGAGTAAAATATGTTTATGTTACAGATGGTGATGACGCAACCGGAAGCCAGTGCATCAGGATCAGTCACGCCGGAGGAAAGTGGAAAAACCTTTAGCAAATTATTACAGTTGGGAAACATCATAGCGACAGGAAACGGTAGGTCTCCTTTCTACTTGCCTTAGCTCTTAATATTTGTATTAAATCGTGCATAATTATTATAACAGAATGAAATACCAAATTTAATTTCTGTTCATTTAGAATGTTAACTTTCTTCACATCAGTAACATTATTATGCACCGGAGAAAATTTCCCATTAAAATATTACTATAAACTGCTTTTAAGAGGCAGGGTTCCGTATCTCATTCTGTATCTTCCAGAAGTGTACTTCAAAGAGAAGCTTCAACTTACTTTGCCACGTATTTTCTAATTAACATTAACGACCAAGTCACTCAGTTGGTACAAGTCGTAAAATAAATATCGTACTATTGGAATCGTACAATTTCTTCCCTCCTATTCTTCTCGTAATTTCTTCACGTTGCCATGAATTCGTTCGTGCAGTTTTCCTCACGTTGATGTCTGACCCGGCTGTTAGAATACAAGCACCTGCTCGAGAATGATTTCGTTCTCGCGAGCACCTTCATTTCCACGATGGTCTCTCTCTCTCTC